AGAGGCTAGTCTCAAACTCCTGACTTCAAGTGATCCACCCGCTTCAGCCTCCTAAAGTGCTGGGATTACAGGCTTGAGCCACCGCACCTGGCCATTAGAATCATCATTGTAGAAAGGTTACTTTTCTGCTCAAAAGCCTTTTAAAGCTTTCTGGCAGTAACAGGATAAACCCAAACTTCTTAGTACAGCATCCATAAGACAGCCAACTTAACTCTCCATCAAAGTGTACGCACCATTTACGTGACATTATTTATCATTCACCAAAATAAGGAAACGACTCTTTCATCTCTGTGTTTTTGTTAATTCTAGTCCCTTAACATGTAACAGGCCTCTTTCCCAATCTTTTCACCTACTAAAAATCCGATTTAAGAGTCAGCTAAAATGATACCTTCTCTGAGAAGCCTTTGTTTATCCCTTTATGGCCAACCCGCAGTTAGAATTAATTACTCCGAAGAAAAACTTCACTTCCAATTGGCACTTAATTTCTTTATATCTCTTTATGTTATATCTCCACATGAACATGCTTCCCACCCCACACTACACTGTAAATTCCTTCAAGGCAGGGCCAGTTTCTGTTTCATCTCATATTTCAGAGGCTCAGCACAAAGCTAGAAAATATAATGTGAATTTTAAAATGTTTTCTTGTTGGTAGGTGGAGGCAGGAGGACTGGTTGAGTCCAGAAGTTCAAAACCAACCTAGGCAACACAGCAAGACCCTAACCCAAAAAAAAAAAAAAAAAAAAAAAATCAGCTGGGCATAGTGGCACATGCCTACAGTCCTAGCTACTCAAGAGGCTAAGGTGGGAGGACCACTTGAGCCAGGAGTTCAGGGTATGATCATGTCATTGTGCTCCAGCCTGGGTGACAGAGTAAGACCCTGTCTCAAAGGAAAAAAAAAAAGGTTCTTGGATTGAATACTATTGCCAGATTAATCTTTCTTAAACACTGTTACTGTCATAATGGTCTTTCCCTAAAATATTTTTAGTGGCTCTTTATTTCCATGAAATCAAATATGAAGTTCTAGGCCTGGTTTTTAGGACCATTCAGAATTTCCTACATTACACCAACTTATTTTCCTCAACACATCTTTTCTACCCTAGTTAAGCAAGTTTCTTCATACTCTCACTAACAGGTGATATGATTTTGAAATTTTTAGGCTGGAAGGATTCTTTTTTAAAGACAGGGTCTTGCTCTGTCACATCAGGCTGGAGTACAGTGGCATGATCATAGCTCCTTGTAACCTCCAATTCCTGGGGTCAAGCAATCCTCCTGCCTCAGCCTCCCAAAGTGCTGGAATTATAGGTGTGAGCCACTGCACCTGGCCTGGAAGTATTCTTAACTCCACTCTAGTTCATTCAGCAACTATAAACACAAGATTATCTCATCTATTCAAGCCTTACATATTCTTAAAATGAGGTTCAACTGTCATCTTCTCTAAGAAACCATACAACTATTCCACCTTAGTCTACTGGAAATTCCCTAACTAAAATTTAATCTTGATCCATACAACTGGCACTTAATTAGATAAATGTTTGCACTGTTACTTTCAGCTAACCAGTAAGATTGAAAGATTACTGGGAAAAGTCTTTGTAGTTCCCTCTACCCACTAACACATTACATAAATATACAGATAATAGACATTCAATGAATAATTGAAACTCTAAACCCACACTGTCCGGCTAGCTTAAAAAAATGTCTGTTTTTTATAGCAGGGGAACTTCAATGGCAGCCCAACTGCAGTCCTACTGTCCCACCACTTATAATGCCAGTATGTTAATTTAGAGCACCAGTTACAAGCTCTGGCCTGACACATATTTTTGCAAATAAAGTTTACGTTTTGTCTGTGGCTGCTTTCACACTACAGTGGAAGAAGTAAGTGGCCACAAGAGAGATCCTATGTCCCACAAAGCCTCAAATGTTTATTTCCTGGCCCTTTACAAAGTTTGGCAACTGTTAACCAAAGCATTCCTAACTTTGAGGGGTTTTTGTTTGTATTTCTGACTGTCCAATTCAAGAAGTAAAGGGGTTTTCATGGTAGCACACAGCAGGTTCATAGCTGGGGCAATATTCTCCATGACCTAGAAAGTGCCTTATTTACTATTTTCAGTTATCTATTTGAACACACAACTCCTGATAAAATGGATAATTAAGAGTTGATTATATAATCAAATAAAAAACTAATTTATACAGTGATGAAAAGTCAAGCCATTCATAATGACTTATAATAATCTTTGAGTAAGCATCTTGCTCAAGGTTGGATGGTGGAATACAGCCCAAGCCTGCTTGAAGAGACATCTGTTATAAATAAAATAACCAAAGCTAAGTGCTAACATTTCCTACCTTAAGCCACATACTTCACTGGGAGGATTCAAAAGACTCTGTAACTGGGATAATTATATCATTTTTAGCAAAGCAGGTAAATTGCAGTGAATTAAAACTCTGATTTTGAACACATTTTAAAAATGAAATCATCTGCTCATCATTGTGTAGAATGGCAACCCACATGAAGGAAAAATCTTGAGACCAATTTCTAGTAACTAATTGCAAACAGTACAGTGAGCTTCAATGGTAAATTAGTAATTGGATTAATACTTTTTCCCATTAACTTATTATGTGACTTGGAGCTAATTATAGCCTCCAATTATATATGATTTATAATTTACAAAAACAGAAATTATTATTCTACAAGGTTAAAAGGTAACTTAGTTACATGGACAAAATCACTCAAACTCTTCAATGAAAGGTGACATAAAAACCACTGTGTGTGCGTTATAAACAAATTTTAATTAATCCTTTTAGGATACAATGGGGAAAAAAACTTAGGTCATTTAAGTTCAGAAGCTGATCGGAGAATCCTATTCAAGAACTCGTTTTAGGGAGGACCTCAAGTGTCCTCATAAGATATTATCTGGCATGTTTTCATGCACATTGCTTCTCCAGCTTGTTTATCATTTGACATACTCTATTAAACCACAACCACATCAAAGCCTCCCTATACTGCTGAACTCAACAGATCCACCAGTTAAAGCTTTCTAGGAGTTCTCTTTTCTAGTAATATACCAATTCCAAGCACAGGGCTAACAACTAGATAGAATGGACAACATTCTCTGGGACAACCAAAAAGGACTTCCATTAGCACTGCCTTACTCCTTGTGACAGAAGTCAAAAAACTGCCAAGCAGGCTTTTTCCCCACCACACTGTCCGACACTAATCATAAAACACTACAGATGCAGCCTTTCTCAAAATGCAGAGGTATTGTGTATATTCGCAAAGAACAACTATTTTTTATGCTTCCAAATTCTTAATCCTGTTTGGAGCTGTCAGTGGGGGTTAATGGAAGCCTTGGATAGGAGAATTCCAATCTGGTTGGCAGATGGATAGGTTGGTTATAGCTGCATAACTATGTCTTGCCTGCAGGCACAATTCAGAACACTGTTAAAGCAATATAAAGTCTCTGTCAAGCTGAACCATTTGGATCAGTAGCAAGGAGAAATAATAATAAAAAAGAAGTTCATTTCTGGGCCTTGTACATTTATGCTAGTATGCAGAAACTGATTAATTGTCATAGTGCACTGGTCTTCTATACCTCAGATTTCTACTTCTGGAGTAGATTTTGCATGCTAATATAATCATTCTCCCTCTTGAGACATTAGCAAATAATCAAATGAAAAACAGGATCATAATTTACTGAGATTCAAGCAATTCTCTATGCAAATTTGACTTGTTATTGCTGCTGCCTCGTTAATCTGAATGCCTTTGACAAACTCCTTTGATTTATGAACTCGTGACAACTCCAATGTGTATATATTTTGCTAGATTGACATTATCATTAAGAGTGGGTGGACTGAGCTCACATGAATGGCTGATTTTATTCGCTGGTGTCTGCTGCTCAACAGCTGAGCATCTCCTCCTCACAAAGCCCCTGAGCGGCAGGCTCTTCCCATCTTCCCATCCATTCATCATCTCGATGTTAATTGGCCCAGGCTTTAAGCAAATTTTCAACACGATTTAAAGGCACGATGACACTGATTACTGACCCTCTGCCATACGGTGCCTATTGATTAACCTGACAGAGATGATGAGCTTGAGGGAAACTAGGTGTGTGGGGACCCGGGGAAAAATATATTGTCTATGCAGGCAAACACTTGTCATTACCTCACAAGCCAGAATTTGCACAGCACACATTCTTAAAACACACTACTGCTTTAACACCTACAGCTAACACAGAAAGTGCTTTCCGTATTCAGAGATTACAGATATGTCATGTCAAAGCGCATGACACATTCAGTATTTAGACGAACTCCCTAGATAGATGGCTGCCTTTCAACCAATTATGCTTGTTCTAGCCGATGTATATAATTTAGGTTCAATTTGAAGAAAGTAACTGGGTGGCCTGGTAATGTTATATCAGAAAAAAATAAGAATGAGAAAAATTAGATTCTTGAAAATAGAGGAAGGAAAGATTAAAATTATCTGCTGTCATTCTACCACTATTAAAAAGAGAGGTACTCTTAAAGCGGAGGAAAACGTCAATCTGGTTTTATGAATTTTGTTTTCTATTCTTTTAATACTGCTACCTGATTACAACTGTCAAACTATTCCTAGCACAGAAATTATACCAGCAACTAAATATTTTTAAGTAAAATAATATTTTAAGTCTAACAAAGATCCCCTTTAAATTCTTGCTTGCCCATTTTCAACAACTGCTGTGCAAACTGCTATACTTAGGAAAATTGTGCAGGATCTCTGAAGTTAAGCTTCATAAAAACTAAATGTTTCATTATCAGAGGAAAAAAATGAAAGTTCATAATTAATGGTTATTAAGTACATACATTAGTAACAAAAATTTTCCTTAAAATATTGCTAGGTCTCCAAATTTACATAAGCAACATCATGCAGCACACTATCAGGTATCAGACAAAAAACATCTTTAGATAGGATCAGTTATTATTTAAAAAACAAAGCCAACAAATATCCTCCCTCTGGCCACACATATCACCTTGTTTACTTACGAGTCCTGGGGGACAGCCAATATACAATTTTATACACGAAGATTTTGGGGCAGCACTAACAGCTATTTCGAAGCTAAAATAATAGAAAACTGAACAACCCGGCTGTAGTATCTATTACAGTGACATGGGCTGTTAATGTAAGAGATCAAATGTTTTTCAAGTCAAACAGCATTGGTGCCTGTTATACTGGAACATGTAGCTTACACCCTAAAAGCCTGCCTCCTGCTCTTTTAAGATAAACAAGCTCAACTAAGCACTGAGATACTCTGATAAAAAGGATAGAAGAGATGAACTGCACCAGGGAGTGACAAAGCAAGGGCATGAATGAGCAGTGTTGCTTTCTGTTAACTTTCAAGTCACCAAAAATATCACAATACAACATTTTATTATTTCACCATTAATTAAAAGTCTAGCTATGGGAGAAAGACAAATTTGTGGCAATAAATGTGGGGACCAAAAAAGGTGGGGGACTAAAACAGTTATCTGTGTTTTGTGAATAGGAGCCATATTACACAGCTGTCTGAACACATTCAGCTTTGTGACTTCTTAATCAAAGGTTTGAACATCAACTTAGCAATGACTATGAGCATATAAAAGAGTTTGTAATTATGGTAATATGCTCCACATCAGAATAGTCCATTTAAACTTTAAGGTGTTGTTTTTTTTTTTTTTTTTGGCGCTAAAGCCTTGATTTAAAAACAAACTTCCTACCTTACCCTTTCAAGTAGATTTTTTTTTACATTTTTATCCTGCTTAATGTACAAATACAATTACAAACCTCCATCTATTTATTAAAATGTGGGTTAATATTTTAAAATCCCAAATTGGCTTGCAAGCAGGCATCTCATACTACTGTAGGTTGTTTTTTCCTTGATGGAACTAAAAGGACAATCATTATTTCAGGAAAAAAAAGCAATTCATACATATGTTCATACACTGTTCAAAATACAACAACAATGTACAAAGTAATGAAATAAGCAAGGTAAAGTTAAAATTCGCCAGGGGGATTTGAGATAGAAAGACATACATAATAAAAAGCCAAGCATACTTATCATGTAAATAAAAATATAACTATCTTCACTTAATTTTTACCTTTAAATCTATATGAACCCCAAAAAAAAAAAAAAAAAAAAGCTTTCCTCTTTAAGACATTACCTTTACATTATGTGTTTTGGACAGATTTTTTCATGCCATGATTTTCCTTTCTGCCATATTTACAAAAATATTTATTTCATCCAGAAATCCTTTGCACATAGTTTTGTGTAAATTAAGAGGCAAACACTTGCTTCTACCAATAAGGACATCTGATTATTTTTGTAACTCAAAGACCTCTGTAGATTTTCTTATGTATATATATATATTTTTCTCAAAATAGAATTGAGAACTATAGAACCCTTGGGATATATGCCAAAATTCTTTCTCTCTGATGACATTTTTTTTCTGTCACCCTTGTTTCCGGTTTTTTGTTGCTTTTTGCTAAATGACTTTCATCCCCTTGGATATCTTCCTTACTTTGGTGTTACCATTTTATTATAATTCAACAATATCTTGAAAGAAATTTAAGATTCCTTTAAACTTGATAAAAGCTAATATCCCCAGATATAAAACCATCTCAAGTAAATAAACTACATTTCTGAAAGCTAGACTGGGCTAGATTAAGATCTGTATGTAGGTGTATATCTCTAATACGGACTGACTCTTGTTTCATCATCTTTTCTTTATTATTAAGAAATTATTATATAGGCTTATTATTATTCTTCCCCACTAGTGATACTGCCTTAATGTCTCTCTGGGTCTTTAAAATTACAAATACCATTCCTCTCACCTATTTCTATAAATTTTTGGTTCCCAAGGCTGAAAAACATGTCTTAGCATAGACTTTGAAGGGTATGCCTTAAAAAGTAACATAGGGGAAGAAAAAAAAAAAACCACACACTATACATTATATCCCTTGCTTTCCTCTTAAAATGGTAAGTAGACTAATTATACTCCTTACTGGGGATGCCTGAGTTTAATCTGTAACTATTGCTGTAAATCCTGCTTTGTATTTTCTGTTCATCTCTACCTCAGAAATGAAAAAACTAGAATGAGAGAAAATATGTTTTTAAACAGAAAACAGCAAATGTAACTCAGATTAACTGTATTCTCATGAGTCTCTAAGTAGCCAGACCCTAAGGTAGTATTGGCCTAAGGATTTAAAATTTGAGTGAGAAGTCTTCTATTTCTGAAGGGTCAAAGGTTATAAACATGAATGTAGGTCTTCAATTTTTCATTTGTTAACATCACCAAACAACAAAATAAAAATAAAACCAAAATAGATTAGTCTGGAGTTCTACCAGGGGTAATTTAATAAATTTATTGGGGAAGATGGCTAATTTTACTACTCCAGGGATAAACAAACTTGTTGTTTTTTGTTTTTGTTTTTAGTTGTTGTTTTAAAGCAATGCTCTTTGATGGGTAAGTAACAAAATTTTAAAAGATGTTTTTTCTCCAATAGAAGAAACTGCTTTTTTCTACAGCAATGCAAATAATTTCTGCTTAAAGGATAACAAAATTATTTCTCTTAAGCCTAGGTCTTAAATTATTGGAATGCTACAGAATGGCTATATACCTCTAATCTACTTTGCTAACTAAGCAGAATTTTGTGCACTTCTGACAAATCCTACAATTAATTTGATTATGCTGTCATTACTTTCCACACCATAACTATCCTCAATTTAAAGAATCACAAGACATGTACATTTGCTTTTCTCAAAATTATTTCACAAGTCACTAAATTATAGAAAAATTTACTATATTTTAGCAGAAATTGTTTTCTTTGGAAATATTAATAATACTTTGTTTATTAAAGAAAAAAGTGATAATCAAAATGTTTCCAAATTATTTTGTCTTTGATCAGAACCTAATTTTAAAGTGGTCTTTTTATTTTATTTAATAATCACTGTAGCACTGAAAATCAAATTGAGCTAATTTTAATGAATGATATTTTAAAATCTGCTATTAGCTATCAATGGCATATTGTTATTACTAATATCAGTCACTATAATTACTATTAGTAATTATTACTAATATACTAATATCTGTTATTAGCTATCATCAATAGCACTTGTTGCATTATGGAATGGAAAACACCACGAACTTCAGAGTTTGGTAATATATAATTGGTTTGACAGATATCAAACATTAATTTTAATATTATAGTAGTTGTTCTTGCAGTACAGAATTTGTGAATACCATAATAGCTAATTGTGGTATTAAAGTATCTCCTGCCGAAATACGCTCTTGTGGAAACAAGTGTATAATACACCTTTTGCTCCTATACACAATGAAAGAATAGTTGACTTCAAAACTAGTTGCCTAACACTGCTGTACAAAGGACATTCTGGGTAGCGGTCAGTAAAGAAAGCATGGGCATTTCTAAATGCCAGTGGTTCCCAACATCTCCTTTCCTTCTGAGTGGAATGAAGTCTGAGAGCACTGACTTGTGGGTCATTCAACCCATGAGGGCCTGGATAGGTTTCAAGAATAACAGAGGTCATGTAATTGCCAAAAGAGCATTAGCCACTCAATCATAATGGATAATTAAATGACCTACATGATTCCTGAAATAGCTGCTCTATATTTGGTCTATTACTTGTGTCCCTCAAGATAAGCTACTCTGTCTGGTCTGCCTTGACCTGCAAAAGTCCAACCTGCGCCTGAACACTAGCTGCATGCTTCTATTGCTTTGTAACCGCCCCCCACAGTATTCATGCCCCAGACTCTGCTTTCAAGAGGACACACATAAAAAAATCAATCTCGTATCCTTCTCCCTATTGTGGTCTCTGGAATACAAATGACTAAAGGAAACAAAAAAAAATTAGTAAATTCCTGGTTTAGATCTTTGGGGGATAGAGGGAAGAAACATAAGAACTACAGAGAAGGAAAGACACGGTTAATTTTTTTTTTATGTTTTGCTCATATGCCTTCAATGAATTTTTACATTTGATTATAAAGCTAGTCAGGGATTTTTTGTGGGCAGCAAGTCATTAAAACTCCAGTTGCCTAGACTGCATTTTTGATGGTGTTGAATATTAGAATCTTTCCTGGCCTAGTTTTGTAGTCCATACAGAAAGCAAAGTGCCTCTCAACAAAATAAAATATACACAGCATCAACTGTTTATATAATAGCAGTAGCCAAAAAAGCAAGAATCTATAATGCCTCAAATTTTCATCTCTCTAAATAGTTCAACAGTCTCACTAAAATACTTAGTCAGAATTATAATCAAATAGAAGCCAGTTGTATCAAATAGCAAAAATGTACTGGATTATTTGCTTCTTTAGGAAGAAAAGGTCTGCCTTTGGCCCTAGAGGTAGCTGCAGATCTAGCAAACAATACAGAAAAAGGCAAGAGACAAGTAACGAAAGACAACCTCACAATAATGGCAAGGGACACAGGATATGAGGGACAAAAGAGATCACATTTAGAATACCTTAGAGGCTAGTAGGATTTTTCTGTTTCTACAGGAAATTATGTAGCTTGAGGCTACTGGCTATCCTGATCTCTAGTACATGGATGGCTTATTAAACCTAGAACATATCTGTTTTAGTTAACTTCTGAGCAGGGGGAGTGGGTTAGAGGCGAGAAGAGAACAAAAATGTACTTAAATGCTGAATTTTTTCTCCAGGCTGAATGCCTTTCATCCAATAAGACATTCAAAGCAGTGACCCAGCAAATGGATTGAAAAAGCAATCTTCCGTCCCAGTGCCACATTATCATTCCTATTCAGTATTCTCCATGAGATATCTCAATCAGCTGTGTGTAAGTGACAACGCAGCCCATTGCTGGGTTAATTAAACATTTGACTTTAACACCCTCCCCGTCATTAAGCAAATAAAAGCAGATAATTCAAACTGCACTTCATCCTCAGGGTACACAACACACATGTCAAAATTAAGAGAGTCCAAGGCCTCTGGGGAATTCTGTTGGGGCTATAATCAGTTTAAATCTTATCTGGTTTATCAATTATTCTATTGATTAAACCAAAGCGATTATACACAACTCCTCTGCCACATGGGATTGATGTCAGTAGAGCAAGAAAATAACTCCAGGAGGTTCCAAACCGATTTTAAAAGAGACCAACAGACAGACCAATAATAGTCGATTATTACATACCAGTGATCCATATACTGAAGAGTTGATTCTTAGTTTCAGGCGGGTGAAGTGAACTGTTTCCAATCACTATGTCCCTCTGCTATACCTTACAGTTGGCTTGAGTAAATTTATGTCTTGAAAGATCAACATATTTTCTACTGATTTAAACAGAAGCTAGCATGCTCAGCAGTTGAAATATATTTTATAGATACTGACCCTAAGCTCTAACAGAGAGAATCTCAAACAGAGAAAACTAAAATGTTTTCTAATCTTCTTACCTGTAAGATGTAGGAATCAAAAGGGACATATTTGAGAGCTGATATTCCTACAAATATACAATCACCTCACTATTCCAATATCCTACAACACAATTATTCCTGAAAAACCGAATCTAAGAAATCAGAAAGATCTTACCACAGAGTCATGACTCCTTTTATTAATTCCAAGGGCACACATCTTCAATGCCATTAATAACATTGAAAATATATAGCTGTATCTTC